GAACCTCCTTATTTTAATACAATATATAGAAGTTTGAATTATTAACACAATTAAGAACTGAACATTTTCAGTTAAATATTTAAATACTTTCCTGACCTTTGCACTTCTAACATTTGCATGACTTGTGTTATAAACAGATGATCTGTGCAATTCTATCATGCTCACTTAAGATAATAGTATTAACCCCTAATCAAGGCAAATCCATACATCTCAGGATAGACTAAGGTTACAGGATCAGTATGGGTGGAGCCCTGTCATAGAAATTCCTTTTGTATTCTAGACCATGGGCATTTTATTCAATGCTCTTTTGGTAATGAGAACATTCTGGGCAATTTGTAAGCCATCGGATTCTTTATATGGAGAACACTTAGAGTTGAATGTCAGTGACTTGTTGCAAATAAAATTCAAAGCTTATCAATCTAAATAATTTTCAGTTTAAAAAAATAACTTTTTGTTTGCAATCCAGAATGAACTGTACCTATTTAACAGAGTTGCTCCTTCAGCTGCTCTTTCTCTTCGTCACTTGTAACCTTTCCTCCAGAAAGCAGAAGTTTCAGGCCCCCTCCTCACCCGACATCTGGGGACTCCTTGGTGGGGATGAATGACAAAAATAGAGAAAAAGGACAGAGTAAATCCATAGAGTCAAGGCTGGCAACGTATAAATTGCTTACTGTGCAACTGCCTTCTTATACTCTCCAAGCAATACTGACTTCAGTACTCAAACGGTGGCTCCTCCTCCCCTTCTTTGCCCCTCTGAACTCTCTTTCAGGATTTTTTTAGCTGAGGCTTGGGTTTTTACCACCATCTAGTGGCCTTCTCTTGTCTTTCTAAGTGAACAGCGATTCTGATCCAAACTCCATGATGAGCTTTTAAAAATATTAACAGGGAAATAGGCATGCTCCTTTCCAAAAATACTACTTTTTTGTGCTTCTTTTCTCTGCTATTGCTAATACTGGCCATAAATTCATTCCGCTACAATACTCTGAAAGAACTGAGAGTAGAAGAGTTTCGTTGAAGTGGGATATTTCCTGCTTTTATAAATATTTGTCTTCTATTCATAGTTATAATTCTGCAAGAATAAGAACAACAGTGTTACAAAACCCGGAGAATGTACAGTCAAGTCTGTCACACCACTAAGAGAAGGTATAACTTGGGTAATTTGTGTGTAAAAATAGGAGAAATAAACAGTTGTGTTCTGGTGCCCTTGCTAGAACAGAGATTTTTATGCAGATGTGGAAGCAGTACACAGCACACCATCCTGGGAGCCAGGGCTTCCTGAGACAGATGTGAGTTCCCCCAGGTTCCAGAGGGTCTAAAAGCTGGGAAACTCAGTGCTCAGTACAGCAATGGGTGAAGTCCTCCTGTAGGTCCAGCAGTCAGGCAGACCATTCTCCTTCTGGGCCTTACCCAAAAGGTGGCAAAATCAGGGGTCTTCACTTCAGCAAATGTGCTCTTCTTCTGTGCACAGACAGGGACACCAGGCACACCCACCTTCCTGACACTACCAAGTGCCCTTTATGTTACCCACTAACCAGCCTGTCAAACACCATACAGGCTTCTAAGTTATCATGAGATAAAAAGTCCCAGTTTCTCCAAATCACCATTTCTCCTCAAATAAAGGTGTTGCATTTCTTCATGGTATATAACATCTTCAAAAGTTTATTTTTAACAGAAGTCGTTTTTCTTGAAGAATTGCCAACAACACAAACCTTATTGCTATATCCTGTGACATTTTTGTGTTTTCAGTGTTCAGCTAGAGTTTATTGTTATAACACAGCTAAATTATATTCCACGGGAGATTCCTCTATTGTTACTGCTGGCTTCTCCCTGGGGACATTTGAAGACAAATAGTCTCTGTACCAAAGGAGACGGTGAGAATTATTTTTAATTATTTGAGCAAAATGGCTCCTCTAGCTTATAGTCTGGAGATGAATTTTGCATGGCCCTTCTCCCCACTACAGGAAAGATAACTTAAGAGTATCACTAAACAGATGTAGCAAAACTATGCTCAATGCATCTGTTAGATGAGAGCAGATCATGCCAACTAGAGAGCAGCAATGCTCCCTGTTGTACCCAAGCCATCTGTGTGCCACATCTGAACTCACAGTTCTTCTCTATGCCGAAAAGAAAATAATACAGGATGCCCATCTGCAGTTCTTCTGTTCTTTAATGTGCAGAAAGTTTTTGTTCTCCTGCGTTATATTTGAGTAACATTTCTTAGTTATATTTGGCTATCTTTTGCATAGTTTCTGATTTTCCCAATGTAGACCCTGGAAATTATATACCTCAAAGTAAAATTTTACTTCTTTCACTCTTTTGATATCTATTAAGAATTATGCTATTGCTGTGCTCTTTCCACTTCCCATTATTTCTCTTCCAGTACCCTTTTTGTTGTTGTTGTTGTCTATTACATTGTCTCTTAAAATTCTATTCATCTTCCCATTTATAAATTTCTCTATGTTCAGTAAGAGTTCTTTGCAGCCCAGCTTAGCCAGCTTTACAAAAGTTCTCAGTGTACCTGGCAGGACTCAATAGCCCAGCTGATAACAAGCAATAAATCACACATCAGACTGATGGTTTGATTATTATTCCTTAGAGCAATGCCAGATCTCTCACTTAAAAATTATGAATCAACCTTCGGATTCTTCTCCCACAGGCCAGGTGTAAAACCAGGTACAAGTGTCTATGCTAGACAAAGAAACTCCCTTATTTACGAACCTTGCAGAAACATTATCTGCCTGGAAACTGGGATGATAATGTAGTTTGTTTATGTTAGAGGATGAAATGAAAAGAATAATTTTAAATTTTCCAAAAAGAAAGAATATTTTTATTGTATTGTTGCTGCAAGAAGGTATAAGCATTACAGTTTGAGACACATGTAGCTGAAGGGACACCCAGTTATCAGTGGATGGAGGCATGCACGTGAGTTATAAGCACTGTAAGTAAAGAGCCACAGAAGCAGATCTTTAGTTTCTCTCAGGAGGAATCCAAGAGTAGCTTTACTTCCCAGCTGGAGGACTCGTGACTAAATACACTGGTTTTTCAGATGTTCATGACCCTGGTGTTGGGCTCCCTTGTTTATTCAGTTAAATAAATTCTCTGTCTCTACCGACAGGAAGGCACTTGGTGTTTTTCAAGGCCACAAAGACCAAGTCTGGATTGCCAATATGAGCGAACAGCACCATACACTGCAAAACATGCCTTGGTATTTAGCTATTGGGCTGTACCGACACAGCACAGGGCCTGACTCCTTGAGTGCACACACAGTGGGTGCCCTGAGGAACACAGTGAATCCTTTGTCCTGTCCTCAAACCAGCATTTGCTTTCTTTTCACAAATGGAAAGAGGAAGGGCAGTTGGACTGAGGGCTCGAGGCTGGGTGCAGTGGTTTCTCTGCAGCCTAGAAACCAGCACAGCTGAGTCATACACCAAGAAACCCAGAGCTGGAGCCCTTGGGAGTGTTTCTGAGGTCCATGGTGATCCCAAAAGGGATACTAAAAAGTATCTTTAGGAAAAGTTGTTTTGTTCTGTACTTCTTGTAACAACTTGCCTGGTATACAAAAAAAAAACCAAAACCTGCTTAAAATCCCTATTTTGCTCAACTCACCAAGAGTTTGCTTGAGGTTCCAGGCAAAAAGAGCAGAGGTGTCCCAGAAAGACATCTGTGAACATAAGAAAGAATTAAAACACAATGGCAACAAGGAAAGAGAAGTCAGGGCCCATTTTAGTCCCATGTCATTTCTTTCTCTTGTGAAGCAGTGAGATTACTCAGAAAGTTGCTCCAGCCACGTATCTGCCTCGCAGGCTTCATCAGTGGCCAGGGTGGGAGCCATGACAGCACCACTGACAGAAACACCCAGCCCCTCTCTGCCACCTGCACCAACAGCCATCACCCCAAAGCTACCCTCTGGGACAGGAGAGGCCATGACTACCTTGACTCAGAGCCCAAGTTACAGCATGTCAAAACCAGCAGGGAACTGTATGCCGCGTTGACGACAGCAAGATGCTGATGTTATCAATGAATGCATAAATGAGGCCAACAGAACAACATGCCCCAAAGAAGTTTCTGTAAGAAGAGCATATTATACTCAGATGCATTCTGGTATTAATCTGTGATAACACTTACTGAAGCTAATACAAATCTACTCAACTTGTCTAGTGCTAATACATTGAAGTAATTTAATTTCAGTGTCCTTCTGCAGCTATTTTTATCTATTTGACAAAAATACATTTGTCCTTCCCTTCATAATGTAGCTTTGGATTGGTGCTCTTGGCCTATTTATAAAGCCTCTTTTCTGTCTACTCCTTGCCTATGCTGTCATTGATGTAGAGAGCCCCAGGGTATCCTTTCAGACTGCATTCTGTTCCAAGAGATAACCCACGGATCTGGAGCAAAAGTGAAGATCGTGGCCTTCTCTGCATGGGGATATATAATCTGTTCTATTACTTCTCAGACTGAGGAAACTTTCTCTTGACCTCTGCCCTGAGTAGATTTGGCAGAACCCCACCAAGCAGTTAATCCAGACCAAAAATAAAATGCATCAATCCTTCCTGTCTTTAAATAAAAAAGCTGGATGAAGTACCAATAGTTTCATCCCCTTCTCTGTCCAGGGGACAGCTGAGAGCCTAAAAGTTAGGTTTTTGAGATAAGCACTGGTATGGTGAATACATTCTTTCACATTGTGGCCATAATATTCAAAACAACACTTGAATGTTTTTTGCAAGAAGAATCACAGTAAAACAAGAGTGAAAAAAAAAGACATCAAAATATCACATAAACTGTCCCCTGTCAAAGGGTGGGATCAGCCATACGTAGTATGATTGCACTAACACTTCTGACCATCACCTCTTTCATCTGAGTGCTTCAAAATGGTTTGAGATAATCTCCGGCCACTTTCAGTTAATACCTATCAGCCGTGCTTCTCAGAGTAGAAAGCTGTGAAAGACACAATACAGTATAAAAGGCATTTTAGAAAGACATACCCTAATAACCTAAACCAGACAATGTCACAACTAGCCCACTAAACTGTAAAAGGGTAGTAAGAGGTTTAGTAACCATCATTTTTATGTGCCTTCTAATGGGAGCCAATTCCAGTAATTAAAGACCCCCTGACATTTTGTTAGAGCACAGGTCAGCAGTACCTGTGCTGAATCATAGAGAAATGCCAGCTACAGATGCAAAAAGACACAGATGAATAATGAGAGACAGTAGAAACTTTCTGACAGACAGGAGGGGTAATTCAATAATGGATAAACAGACTGGAAAAAGAAATAACTTAAAAAACACCTAGCAGATTCTTGTTAGAGACAACTTTTTGCAACAGAAAGGAAAGTATTTCATGCTAGACCACAGAAAAGACTTCGTATGTCTTTATCCATTCGTTTAATGATCTCAAATAAGTGTTTGAAAATGCTACTTTAATTACGTATTATAAGACATGCCATGTCTCGTTTCTGCAAGCTTATCTTGCAATATGGCAAAGGCATGCATTAAGAGTACATTGTTCATATGCTTCATAAAATGTTTGTTCATGAGAATAATTTCATATATTCATATAAAATGCTGTTAATTTGTTGTATAATTCAGGTGTGGGACTTGGATGTTTGAACATTATAACTTTTTTAGAGAGACCACAGGTACTTCAGTG